TTGAAGAATTGACCCTTGACATTTGCCGCAATGTCATGGATGGAGGTGCTGAATTCGAGATGCCCAGGTCTGAAATCGCTGAAGCTAGACAGTTCCTCCGCCGGCGGTGATAATTGTAAATTCGTCGCCGGACGGATGGGGAGAGAGTGAAGGAGGAGAGATGTCTCATATGCGAAAGGAGGGGAGGGCGGATGGTTGTGAACTCTCGCAAGCTTTAACCCTTCACACGATTCGGAGACGCGTGGCGCGTCCTCCAAATACGCGAATGGTGCCTTTGACTAAAAGTGCCTGGACTGAAGCCGAACTCGTGGTCGATACAAGTAGTCAAATTTTCATCCTACTCCTCCTACCTACCACCCTATACCTTTGGGCTTTGTCCAAAACCACTCGACTCTCGCGCCTTAACGTGGAGGCCAGTAGTCTACCTTGATCAAGCAGGGAATCCTTTATAGGACCTTCAATTCAGAGGTTTCAAACCATCGTCTCTCCCCTGCAGCAACCACAACCACCCCGCAAAAACCGGGAATGTTATTGTCTATTTAAAATACGGAGATTTAGGGGGTGCAAATGGATCGGATCATATCCAATTCGAGATCCGATTGTATCTGGTCGAATTCGGATCATTTTTGTTAGGATCGGATTCGGACCACCCTTACCTCATCTGATCCAATATATTATACATTTATAAATATAAATATATATATAATACATATATATGTTATTTATAAATTATTATATTATTTATTTTTTATAAAAAACATATATATATATATAATGAAAATGATTAAAAACATTTGTATTTTTTTGTTTTTATTTTACTTAAATTAATATATTTTATTTTCTTTTAATAAATTATTACTTTTTAAAGAAAATAAGTTGGATCAAATCAGATCCGAAGATCTAATTTACTGATAGGATTTGAATTCAAATCGAACCCTATCAGATTCAATTGGATCCAGCATGAACAATATTAGATCGGATTCGAATATACCTCGATTTGATTCCAATCCGATCCATTTGCATCCCTACTATTTATATCAAGGTTTTGAAAAGTGAACCGGATACAGAATTGTTTTGGGTACTGGTTCCCAAGTCAAATGGTTCAATCGTATTGTTCAAATAGATGATCTGTTCTGATTTTAAAAATAAAACATGAAAAAAAAATAAAATTAAAAAAAGGCTAAAAACCATTATCTAGATCAACAGGTCGACCGCTTAGATCAGTGGCTCATTGACCAAAACAACAGTTTTTGGCCCAGGAGTGGTTTTGGGATGAAACAAAAGCGATTGCCTGACCGGTTCCCGGGTAAACCAGTCTGGCCCGGTTTTCAAAACAATGATTTATCACAGAGAGTGACCATCATTCCTTTCAATGGGTCCTATGACTGGAATATTCAGAACTCACAAGAGTTACTAGATTGCATAAGTGCGTACAATCTTTCTTGATTATAACTCATGTTTGGAAGCTATGTAGAATCAAACAATCTCATTTTAGTCTTTTATTATTAGTCTGAGACTCTGAGGTCATGAGTACTGAATGTTGACTATTCCAAAGAGTTTCAGCCCATTAGTACTGAATGTTACAAGTATGACTGTCAAGAAAGGAATAAAAAGAAACAAAATTGAGAAAAAGGAAGGAAGATGAAATATATATATATATATATATGCCAATGTGGTCCAAGGTCGACTCTGATATCTTAATTCCTAAGAATCTGAGACTTCAATATGTGAAGCGTAAACAGTGGCATTTAATTATGTAATTTTTAGGATAATTATCATTGCTTAAAGGCAAGTAAGCAAGTTGATGATGGTGTGCTAGCTACCTCCATTCAAAGTGGTTTCTCTTGTGGTGGGCCTTTTTTTTTTCGTTTCTTATGTTTGTATTTGTTTTTCTGGTTTGATGTCTTAATGCACCTTAATGGCCTTATGCACCCCCATCTGTGATTCTAATAGTATCAAAAAAAGAAAAAATGTGATTTAAGTATAATTTAGTATATTCAATGATCATTATCGTCATTACTACTATCATCGTCATCACCACCATCACCTCCATCATCGTCATCATTTAAGCTTTATCTCAACCATAATAGGGTCCGCTGCATGAATCCCTTACTACAATCATCATTTAAGTCTAAGCCTTTTCCCAGTTACACGGGCTGCTGGCTACATGAATTATGCTTTACAACAAATTTTCCTAAATGTTTCTCAATTTTTGAATTAACTAATCAAGGATAGTGGTGGTGATGATAATATTAGTACTGCAGAAAGGTAAAAAAAAAAAAAAAAAATTAATAGAGAATATAAAAGCTGATGAAAAAGAATTGGTACACTCAGATAACAAATTAATTATAAATAAACGGCCAAAGAAAAAGGTGCTACCTGTAATACTTAAAAGAGGCAAAGAAGGAATTGCAGAACTGTCTTTTTATTTCAAAGTAATCTTTCTCTGGATGTAGATAAGTTTTTAGGTACTACCTTTGTTATTAGAAGTCAAAAAGTCCAAATCATGTCTAAGCTTTAAACCTCTACCTTTTTCTTTTTCTGATCAATCAATACTGGATATACCCCAAGTCCATCTGAGGTCTGACTGTCAGCTACTAAATTCCAAGTTGCACAATTCAATGATCAGAGCTACTTTTCTTGCTTTGGGCCTCCATACTACTAATAAAATATGCTTTACAAAACCTACCAGAATTTTTAGCTAAGAAGCATCCACAGTTTTGAGTTTGAGATACAATAGTCGATCTGATTTTTGGGCTATGCACTCTGCAATCTATGGCCCAGCATTTTCTTACTTAGGAAAATGTAATGCTTTGTTATCCTAAATTTGACTTGGATGCGGTATTTTGAATGAATGCTAACTCTCCATTTCCTGCACTTGTGATTACACTATAACTCATAATGCAATGTTACAGCCACATACTATCACAGTTAGGGGTGCAATTCAGGTTGGTCCGAGTTAGCATTTTACACTTGGGTCCATCTTCCTCTTCTCTCTTCTCCCTCACCTTCTTCTACTTCCTGTTCTTCTCGTCTTCCTCCCTCACCTTTTTCTTCTTCTTCCGCCGAAGAACTAGCAAGTGACGTGTTTTTTCATGTATAAAATCAAACACTGAAAAGTCCAATTTTTACACTTTCCCATTCCATCCCACAAAGGTGCAAATGCTATACTCAAATCCAAGTTTTTTAGCTCAGGCCCAATTGCAAATATGAAAACTCAGGCTCAACCCATATAAAAAACTTGGGTTTGGCCCACCCAAATTACAGCCTAGATAAGGTGCACTGTTTATAATTTCTATTCACACATTAAGGTGATATCAGGATGGCAAAAGTAATTCAGCCCTTATAATTCGAATCTAAATCAGTAGGCAAACTTGGTAGGTACACTGAGTAGCACTTGTCCCTCAAATGTGTGTTTAAGATTTTGTATGGGTGAACTGCAGGAAAACTTGTGGGACAAGTGTTACATACTGATTGTGTGGTAACTCAATGTATTCACACTGAGTGTGCTTATCAGATCTAGACTCTGAATTACAAAAACTAAATCCAATTTGATCAAAGCAATTCAACTTACTAAAAGTGCTGGGGTGGACCAAAGAGGACTTTGGTCGAAGCAGTAAGAATTGATTTAAGTGACCATGATTTTGCAATAGATATGGCATTAAACAGAGTGGAATGCTGAAACAGGATTCTTGTAGCCAACCCCAACCCCAACCCCAATCCCATGTGGTTGACATAAGGGTTGGACGATAATAATATATGTATTAGTAAATTTGGTTTGAATGTTTATGTAATTGTCAAAGAGACATAAATAGAAAAATCTGATAGTCCAGGTCTTTTTTGTTTTACATGATAAACAATATTAAATCATTTCAAATCCATCTTATTAATAATGGTAATGATATTTTGATTTACTTAGTTTTAATTCAAGAATGTTCGATCTATAATCAAATCCAGTTCCGGTCTGATGTAAATAAGACAAACAATTTTAATTAATTTGAATCCCAAAATGAATGTAGCAGCCCTACATATGGCCTTGATGGATGCAATATGATTGCCTTTTGGTTTTGAAAAACAAAAAATCATAAGTATTGACGAACACACCTTGATAAATGGGATAGAACCAGAAGGCTTTTTTCTTGAACTTTCTTTCTCATTGTGTGGTTTGTCTGATTGAAACCTTTTCCTGCTACATTTCTCATCTGAGTTTTATCCCACTAAATGGGCTCAGCTCCATGAATCCTGTTTTGCTTGGTGCCATGTCCACCTCTCAAATGTCTACCACGGAAAGAATGTTTCTTTAAATAATCTAACATGAAATCATGAACCCTTTGGAATTATCAATTGTCAATTCAATGAATCTGAGTTTTGTAGTTGGATCCTTTTTGAGCCAATATAGTAATGTTCGAATCTATAATCTTGATTCAAATCCGTAAAATGGAATACAGTTCAGCACTTAATAAAATAAACAAAGCAAATATTTATAAGTTCTCAGTGCCTGCAGTTTTCTCTATAAATTAAAGGACATCACTAGTGTCTAGATGCCTAAAATCGCTGCAGCTTGGTATGCTAAATCAAAGAGATTGGTCTTGTTTTCATCTTTTTTTCTCCTAAGTACTCTGCAGACAATAAGAAAGTTAATTGGTTGAAGAGAAGGAGGTTCGGGGCTAACAATTAGGATGAAGAAGGGGGATTTTATTTCCTTCTTGTGTCATACTGATGAGCTATAACAAATTAAGGGTAGTCATTCTATCTATTTTCAATTTTTTCTTTGGTTTATGCAGAAATGGTTATAAATTCATAATGCGATCGAGAATGAGAGAACAGTAATTGAGAAGGTAATAGCCGATGCTATGTTATTGATTGAGGCACACTGGTTTAGCATTTGTTATAACATTACAAAAGCCAAACCGTTTGAAAGACTAAACCAGACTCCACTATCGAAACCCATTACTTTTTAAAACAATCACATAAATTTACATGAAAAAAAAAAACTACAACTAATAAGGAGGTTCAATCCAGATCTTCTTGCCACCAACCACGGCCAGACAACCATAGGTCGCGGTGCAAACATATCTTTTCCGAGCCTTGAGGGAGTAGAACTTGGCCGGATCCTCTTCTCTACAGTAATAGATTTTATCTGCTATTTGTCTTCTGGCTTTGACAGAGTCTGAAACTGAAACAGAAAATGAAGTGGACCCTAGAAACAATGCTCGATCCTGTAAGCTTTCGACTCTGACCCAACTCATTTGTGCACGATCAAGCCTGAAAATCTTGCTCCATCGTCCCTTTTCACTCAGAATAACCAGCCGAAGCTCTCCCTTAGACTCGAGCAAATACGTATCGTACATGGGATCATCAACATATGCAGAACCCGGCAATGCAAGCACATTCCAATCTTTCCGAGATACGTCGAAAGCTCCAAGTGTACCACGACGTGTGGAACAGTAAAACTTTCCTTCAGAGTAGACCGCATTCTTGACAAGCCAGAACCCTACATTGAAATTGTATTTGGTCCACGTCTTGTCCCCCCGGCGATACGTGTTGATGATGACACTGACAGTGTAGGCATCTACGGGGCTGTGTAAAGCGAAGAATATACAGTCTGGGGAAGTTGGGGAGGTCGAGAAGGTTGCAGCGTCAATGTCGAAATCCAGAACTGGAAGATCGATCCACTCCTTGGTGAAGGGACAGTAGAGGAAGAATGATGTACCACGAGGGTGTCCCTTCGATAGTAACAACCAACCGGATTTGGCAGCACAAACTTGCAAACAGCGAAGGTCCTCTGGGACCTTGGCCCCTGCGTCCATGTCATAAGCCTTCTTTCTGCAAGGATCGTAGAGCTTATACGAGTTGAACGGCCTTCTCTCGAATACCATAAGCCATGGCAGCTGATTTTCGGAATGGACTCGATCGACATTGGGTCTGCTGACTCGTTCGATGGACTGCCATCTCTTGCACACTGCACGGAAACGTATCTGATCAATAAAAGCCAGACGTTCCATGATCAACTGTAGAATGTCTTCAGGAAGATCGGACCACGGCCTCTCTCTATTACTATTTTTCCCATCAGTAAGTCTTGTTCTCTTTCTTTTGCCCGCCATCTCTTTCTTTCTCTCTTTCTTTCTTCTTCGAGATGACTGATCAAAATTGTATAAACTCGTTAAGTTTCCCAATCTTTACAATCATATATATACTAGTGTTGGACTTCTAATCTTATTAGAATTTCGTGAAGGAAACTTTTGCTTGTTTAAGTAATAATAGAAGTTCTGAAGCGGAAAAAAATTAATAATAGGAGTTATTAGATTTCTATTTGGTTTTGGAGTTTTAATCTCATTAGATTTCTATTTTTGCTTTATTTTCGGCAGTTACACTTTCTTAGGAGAGAAGGCAGGTGCAACTTGGCCGGGTTGGAACCTTCCCTATCAAGATCGATTTCCATCAGGCAAGCCCATGCCCACAACGACCCAACCGCATTTTGCAATCTTGCTTTGGGAATATCGTCGCATGAAATAAAGCATACAAGTATGGAGAGTGCCCTGACGGAAGCCGAACTCTTCCCATCAGGCTATCAAATTTGTAAGTAAGGCTGTGTTTGGTTGCAATGCAAATTTATTTGCAATGATGTAAAATTGTGATAGTGCAAATAGTTTGAGTCATTTATTTGTATTTTAAATTTGATCATATTTTGTTTGATTTCAGTACAAATGAAGTAAAATAAGACTTGAAACAGAATAAAGTAAAACCCAAAATAGAATTTACATTTTTTTCATTTGCACTTCCATGCATTTGTATTAATGCAAATAAAATTGCACTGCAAACAAACACAGCCTAAATGTTTATATACACACACCATTACACTCATGGCCCTCTGGTATATAAGCATATTTACATACCTATACGCATTACATATACATAATTAATGTGTAAGAATATTCAATTACAGGTATAATACCATAGAGTTTGAGTTGGATTAGATTGCGCAGTGTATCATAGCAAACCCCGATCCAACCTCCGATCTGACCATATTTTTTTTTGGGTTGGGTTTGGTTTCACTCAAAGCAAGTTGTATCCCTCCAGAGAGAGAGAGGGAGAGGGAGAGGGGAGACTTTACTAGTTATTAACAAGTAATTGATAACGTATTTTCCCTTTTTCCATTATTTTCTTATAATTTTGTTTGGAGAGCCTTATTGCCACCACTCTACTTCTTCGTGCACCTTACAACAATTTAGGTTCATTGTTTCCATTAGGCTAAGTTCGGGAGTACTTAAAAACAAGTGTTTGTTCAAATAAACACTTATTTTGGGCCGGGACTATGCCAATAAAATGCTTAGTTATGTTTGGGAAATAAGTCCATAAGTCCAAATAAATTCTTATTCTTTTATGAATAGGAATGACAACAACAGGGAAGGTTATCCCCATCCCCATGAAAATCCTTATCCCTGTCCCCTCTAGCGGGGATATATAAGGTTATCCCCGTCCCCATTCCCACAGAGATCCCCACTCCCTGTGATTTTTATTAATGTCAATCATTTTGTTTTTATTTTTTATTTTATTTAAAAAATTAAAATTAAAATAGTTAAAATGTAATACTATTTAAAAATATTCAAATGTATTCAAACATATTTTTAAAATATGAATATACATACATACATGATACATACATATATAGATATATGCATATCCACATATATATTAGTGGGGATCCCCACTGGGCGAAGAGTGCTCTTCATCCCCGTCCCTGTGGGGGGAAATATCATCCCTATCCCTGTCCCATTCGAGGCAAAACCCTCATGGAGATTGGGGAAATGAGAAAAATTGTCATCCCTATTGATCAAATTTTGGGTTTATTTTCAAGTTAAGTCCTCATTCAATAAGTTCTTATTTCCTTTCAGGCATGTCTTGACTTGCCACACCATTTTGAAAATACCTATACCACCCCTGTTTGAAATAAGTGCTTTTTCACCAAAAGCTCAGGAACACTAAAAAGTCTAGAGTGTAGAAACTACAATGTGAAGTAAAAACGTGAACCAAATTTAAGGTATCACCATTGTAAACTATTCAAAGGAAGTGGAGTTGCATGCAGTCTCATCAGAAGTTTTTACTTGTTGAACCCGAGGACAAATAAAAAATGGGTTCAAAAGATATGATATCCAAAAAAAATATCTGACCAATCAACACGTAGTAGCCAATCAGGTGCTATTTATCAAAATTCATGAATGGGTTTTGATTGGTCAAAACCCTTTTCGGCATTATAGATTTTTCTAAATATATTAAAAAAAAAACGTTTTATATGATCCTAACCCGATATAAGAAAATACAATGAAAAAACAAAAAGCCTTATTCGGTCATAAAAATAGAAACATAGATATTTTTTACCAAATTTTATATAATTCTTCTTAAAACTAAGAATAATCATATATAGTGACCCTCTCTCGTAAGTCATAACTAATTAAGAGGAGGTTCGACCCAAATCTTGTCAGGGTATTGCTCGGAATTCTTGGCAATGCATCCATAAGAAGAAGAAGCAGAATAGTTTCTTCTGTTGTAGATTGGATTGCCCCTCAGTGACCGAAACGCCACTTCCCTGTCTAAAAGGTAATACATCCTATTACCAACTCCTCCTTTCCCTTGTGTCGTTGGAACCGAAATTGTTGTGCGCCCAAGAAACAACGCTCGATCACCTAAGCTCTGCAACCTTACCCAACTCTTCTCCGACCGATCGAACCTGTAAATACTGGTCCAATGGCCATGGTTATTAACTAAAACCATTAACAGCTCTCCTTTAGAAAGTCTTACTCGAGCCGATATGATTACATTGTATTTCCGGTACTGGAAGCACACTCCAACTCCTCTCAGCTACATTGAATGTCCCGATCTTGCCTGAACTATTGGCGCAATAGAAAATCCCTTCCGAGTACACTACATTCCTGATGACAGAACGGAAAACCAGAAACAAAGGTATTTACAGTCCATTCTTTATCGCCAAGACGACATGTCCCGAACCTAACTTGGTTGCGATCTTGAGAATTGAACACGGCGAAGAATATGCAGTCGGCAGATTCTGGGGTTGAGGAGAATGTGGCAGTGGTCCAAGAGAAACTCAGGCCCGGGAGGTCAATCTTTTCCTTGGTAAAGGGATTGTATACGAAGAATGAAGTCGAAATAACGAAAGCTTGATGGAGTGGACGATGCAGTTGTAAGTTGAAGGAGGATAGTAATAACCAACCGGATTTGGAGGCGGTGACGTCTAAATGTTCAGGAAGGCCTGTGTTTTCCACGGTGTAAGTTCTCTTATAACATGGGTCGAACAGTTGGAAAGAAGAGTTCCAGGAGTTTACATTGAAGGCCATGAGCCATGGCAATTGGGTTGCTGGTCGAACTCGATTGACTGAATTCCAACTCTTACAAACTGCACTGAAACGACATTGGTCGGTGTAGAAGAGATTTTTCTTGATCAATTCCAAGAGTTCGTCCGGAAGGTCGGGCCATGGTCTTTCTTCTTTCTGTTCATCAGAATGGGATGTGGGCTTTAGTGGAGTCAGCGATGTCTTTCTCCTTCTCTGCCTTGGCGCCATTAATTAACCACTCTGCAATTTGTTTTTGTTTCCTTTTATCCGAGACTGCAAGATAGAAGGTTGTCTTCTTAGAAATCGATCGAATAAGCAATGACAGGGTATAATATCTATACGTATATGTATAGAGGAAAAAGTGGAATCATTGTAGGAGAAGGACTTGAGAGAGAGTTTAGAGTACTAACAGGAATAGATCCTTTATATTTTTGTTTTATGAATCAAGAGAAGTACTTTCCTTTTATGATTAAAGTACCTTTTTTATTGTTGCCAATAATTACTATTTTAGTTTTTATGTCTTAAAGGATATTTTAACATCAAAGATATATTAAAATCACATAAGAATCAATATATATATATATATATATATTAAGAAAGTAGCAGGGACCCGTCCGATGCATGGAAAAATCTGAAAGATTTTAAATAATTTTATTTACTATTAATTAATATTAAATTAATAATTTTTAATATAAAATACCCTTATTAATATAAAAATATTGTTAATTTTCAATATTTTTTAATTATTTTTAGTATTTTAATTATGTTTAGGGCTTTCATAATTTTTTGGATTTTTAATTAATTGTTGGTATTTTTTCATTACTATTCAGTAATTTTTGCATATGAGTATATTTTGCAATAAAATACCGTTAATAAAACATTTTCTGCATTTTATATTTTCATTAATTTTTATAAATTTTAACGAGCTCATTATACATAATAAAAGGTCTCAACTCATAAAAATTATTAATTAATTAAAATGCATTAATAAAAAGTTATCTAATTATATTATTAAAACTATCAATTAATATTTTATATTTAAATTTCTTATTTTTAATTAATTGTTGGTATTTTTTCATAGGGTTGTTCACGGGTCAGGTCGGGTCGGTTTAATAGCATTTTTCCAACCGACTGGACCTGGTAGGTTTACATAGAAATGAAACCAAAACCGACCCAGTACTAAGTAAAACTGACCTGGTCGGTTTGAATCAGTTTGGGTCGGTTTTGTGAATGATTCTCTCGGTGTGAACAGTAAAGGATTCAAGTTTAAGAAAGCAAAGGCTGGATGCCTGGAAATTAAAAATGATTTGATGGATTAAAACTGATATTTTATATATAAGAAATTTTATATATAATATGTATGTTTCTAAAATAAAGCTGATATATATATATATATATATATGAAATATCGGTTTGGGTCGGTTTGGTTCCGGTTTTCACACATGAAAACCGAAGCCGAACCAAACCATTGGTTTATGCTTTTTTGTAACCCGAAACCGACCAGTGCTAAAGAAAAACCGGCCAACTCGGGTTGGATTGGACTGGGTTTGTCGGTTTGAGTCTTGTTATGAACAACCCTATTTTTTCATTATTACTCAGTAATTTTTGCAATAAAATACTATTAATAAAATGGGATCTGTATTTTAAATTTTCATTAATTTTTATCACTTTTAATAAGTTCATTATTCACAATAAAGGTCTCAACTCATAAGTTATCTAATAATATTATTAAAACTATCAATTAATATTTTTTT